CAGCTGAGAATCGAGTAAGTCACTTTCTCTCATTTGTAAATCTTTTAATGAATCTCAGATCAGTTATGCTTTGAAATCTGGTGACTAGGTGAATTTGAACAGTATGATAGTAGGTACCAGATGGATGGGACTTTTGGCATACCTCGATTTTATAGTGTCAGATGTACTTGGTGGGGGGGCAGATTTATGTCTTGTTTTATCAAGGACCCAAGACTAGAGGGGCCTCCAAGCGCCCTCTAGTCTTGGGACATCTGGACTGCAACCTATACTAGCCAATATGTAAATCTGATATTGCAAATATGTGATCATAAGGTATTAACGCCCTAATTGGGCAGTAGGGTGGCTCGCCATAAGTCCTTAAAGATCATGACCAGAAGCAAAATGACACAGGCTCAAATCACATCCATATTTGATATAGGAGATACCAGGTGGAAATCCAGCTGGTTAGTTCAGTATTATTTAGCTTCCATAGGATATGGTAATAGAAGACCGTTTGTGAAGACCTTGGTAACACTGACATAGGTCACAGTACCTCACCTGGTCTCATGATGTTGCTAATTGTACCCTGGAGGATGGGGGAAATGGTCCTGAGCAAGAATGTAGCTACAATCACAATTGTTGCTTATTTTGTTTTTGTTTAGCCATATCAAAATTGAAACTATTTCTAAAAAAAAAAAAAAAAAAAAAAAAAAAAACAAAATAAAAAAGCCTTAAATAAATGAACAAATAATGTTATCTGTACTATTATACAACACTGAAAGAGATGAAAACTGGACAACATTCAAACTTATGCTCACATTTCATAGCTAACCTGATTTTTTGGTTTTAGTACCATCACACTCAGTAGCAAAAAAAAAAAAAATTGGCAGACTTTGGAAAGCTGATGTCCATAAATTGATTTTGAATGTTGATAAATGAAATAATCAATAACGGCAATATAATTCTCTCCAAAACGACTCCCACTTCCCAATTCTTTTGTAATTTAATAAGAACAATTAGCTTTCATGTAGTTCTCCATTTATGACCAGTCATTCTACAAGTGTTGCTGGTACCATGTAACCCAGTATTATGTGATATGATTAGGTCATTGGTGACTAAACTGGTCCCCCCCCCACTTCCCAAAGCTTTTCTGGTGAGGAGGGTGACTAGACACTTGGCAGAATTAAAAATAAGACCTGTCAAAGGGCAAATGTGTCTTCCTGTAGGACTTAACAGCACAATGGAGTAGACTGGACTCCTAAGCTATGTATGCAAACAGTAGAATTATAGCATGCTGGGCATAAGGCTTCCTAGACTGAAGTCAATAGACAGGGTGAAGGGTTCTTTTGTTGGAATCAATGATCACATGTCTATGAACAAGTTAAGCTTTCAAGTTCAAGGACATTGATTGTTTTGCCAGGCGTATTTGCCCAAGTCATGCTATACATGAATGGATATCTCTCTTGCTTTCAACCCAGATATGTAGAGGGAACTGGTCAGGTACTCAATAGGGTAGTTATCCTACGACCACATCCATTCATGTGAATTATTATTATGATGATTATTATTATTAATTTCCCAGATTTTTAAACATTTTGAAAAATAACTAAAACTTTTGTTTTCAGGTTTTCCTTTACAATGGAGATCTTCATATTATTCCTATTCCTGAATCTCCACAAGATGTTGATGGTTTACCCCTTTTTACACCAACTCTGCCTGAGGCAATAAACTGTATTCGCCAACTTACACATCGGACAGAAGCTGATGCTCCAATTCAAAAAGCAGTTAAGAGAAGAATTGAATGGTAAAAAGATTTTTTTTATGTTAATTAGTCTTATAGAATTTCTGCTCTTACAGCCACATCACATTGAAACACCAGTTCCTGTATGATTACCAAAGTTAAGCAGCATTGAGCCTATTCAGTACTTTGATGGGTGGCAGCTTGGGGTTACCAGGTGCTGTAGGCTTGGATGTGCAAGTGATGCAATAGATAATGACTTGGTATTGTTAATTGGAGAGCCAAGTTCAAATTTAATTTGCTTTTTATATTTATTTATATCCAAATACCCTTGGGAAATGTATGAATCCACCTCATCTCCCTCCAGCTATAGATTAATAAGTAAGACTTGTATCACTAAATCATTCTCCCTAAAAAAAAATTTCTTACAAGTCTGTGCCAATTCCCATCCTGTACATGTTACCTTGGACAAATAACAGCTACTACTATTTTTGGCCTTTTCCTAATCTAAATAACACAACCAACAAAATGAAACTAAACCAGCTTGACAAAAAACACCTTAACTCCTCAACCTTTCTTTCTCAAACATTCATGGTATTCATACCAACTTCTGCAGTGTGGAATCATTACTCTTTGAACATTCTACACACATCCTTGCTCTCTGTAAAACTAATCTTAATTCTTCAATCCCTTCCTCTGAATTCTTGATTCCTAGCTATCTTTCTTTCCTTAGGAAGGACTGTAATGTCCACATGCATGGCATGGGTGTTTATATTTGGGAACATCTCCCTCTGACTAGGGAACTCTCTCTAGTCTCCAGACCATTCTTACATGTGTTTTCATCTTTCTCTACTAAATTTAGTCAGCTATCTCTTCTTTCTTTATCATTCCCTTTCTTCTCATGACTGTTGTGTGCTAAATAGTATTTCTGATAATATAAATAAGATCCTCTCTCTACACCTGTTTGCAAATACCTTTGTGTTTGGAAATTTCAATGCCTACCATACCAGGTAACTTAATCACTCTGTTACTGACCTCACAGGCATCCAAACTCTGAACTTCTTTATAACTCAATTCCCATGCATTTTCCCAGTAATCCTGATGGACAAACTTTTCTCCTTGATCTCTATCCCTAACTCAGCCCTGCCCTCTTGGCAATTCTGTTCATGCGGTAGTGTCTGTAAACTTCTCTTTCTGCTCTCCCATCAACCACAAGCCTCTTACTAACAGAATATCTTTGTTATCAACACATTGATTGGAACTTGTTTTGTGACTTCCTTCGTGATATTCCTTGGAACAAAGTTTGTAATAATCCTGTTCAAAAATGTGGTTCTCACCTGTATGTTCAGCTGCTACAACCCACAGGAATCACTTCTTCCAGTTGTACCAGAGCGACAGATCTGATTGTAACAGACATCTTTTTGTCACTGCCCTTAATGAGTGCAAGCATGTCCTCAAAGAAGCAAAGTTATTTTTTGCTGATAGAATGAAACAACATATAGTCTCTCACAAGTTTGTTTCTAGAGATTACTGGCACAAGAGTGTGCGGAACAATAGCAAATCCTAAGTCCCTTTCTTCAATCAATTTGAAGTACATCTACAGTAGATAAAGTTGAGTGCTTTGCTCAGAAGTTCTCTTCCAACTCCATACTAGACTCATTTGGAGTACCCATACCTGATTTCTTCCCCTAGAACAGAGGCTCTAATGAGTGATATGTGCATAACCCCATCTCTGGTTTCAGACATCATTTCCAAACTAGACTCATACAAGGCAAACGGCGGATGTGATGGGATCCCTGTTGTCATGCTAAAGAAATTTGCTTATGAGCTGGCTCCAGTTTACACCAAACTCTACAACAATTGCCTCGCTACTTTCTACTTGTTGGAAGTCCTCCAATGTATTTCTTGCTTTTAATAACTCTGGCGAGTCCTCTGAGCCTTCCCATTATTGCTCTATTAGTCTTTTACTGCTTTTCAGTAAAGTATACATGTTTCTAATCAATGCTGAAATGGTTAAGCTTCTTGCATCTTATTACCTCCTTTTGGACAAACAATATGGCTTCTGTTTCACCAGGTCTATTGCTGATGAGTTGATGGCCATCACTGAATACGTATGTCAAGCTTCTAGGTAAGAAGCTTGTGTTGTGGCTCTAGATATGTCAAAGTAATTATTAAACAGGGTTTACCATGCTGGCCTTCTATGCAAGCTCCAGGGCTACGGTGTCACAGGATGGATATTTGGTTTAACCCAATCATTCTTGTCAAATTGTGAAATGAAGTTTGTGTTGAACAGGCTCACTTCCAGATCCTTTCATATAAATGTGGTGGTCACCCAAGGCTCTTTCCTGAGTCCTACACTGTTTCTGATCTTCTTCAATGATCTCTCCAATGTCATCAGTTTCCAACTAGGTATTTATGTAGATGACACTATCATTTTTTCCTGTCTTAGTAGAAAATCCATCAGATCTGACAAAGTAAACAGTTAATATATTTCAATCTTAAAAATGGCTAAATTTATAGCCAAAAGCGCTTGGAAAAAAACATTTGCAAAGTTTGTATATAATTTATTTATTAAAAAGAAAAAGATTATAAGATCACAGGGGTAATTATATTAAAAAAAAAAAAAAATGCATCTTATCATATTTAATGAAACTTGCTAAAGAAGAAAATAAGGATTGCTGCCTAAATACATATATATATATATATATATATATATATATATATATTTATATATTATATATGCGTGGTACATATTGGAAAAGCGCTCAATATCAATGATAGAGCTAACTCACTCAATCAACTATATATATATATATATATATATATATATATATATATATAATATTTGATCAGTGATTAGTTTAACTGTATTGAAAATTGTGTAATGGCTAAAAGCAATGTTAGTTTTAATTAGCATTATTTTGATAATTCTATGATTATTTTTTTTTTTTTTTTTTCTAATTACAGTTACCCTGCAAAAAGCAGAGGATGATCTTCATTTTGCTCACTGCTTCCTTCCTGCTGGTTTGGCAGCTATTTTAGAACAACGACCATCACTTGTTGCTGCCGGCGTAAATGCTTTTTATTACAGAAGTCCTGATGATCTCAAGGTTAGTATGTACATTTGAATACATTTATCATTTTCAATGAAATTAGGAGATGAAATTCTAGAAGGATTAAAAATTTATTTTAAAAAGAGAATGTCTTTTTGGAATTTTAATAAATCAAATTGTTTTGACAGTAATGCAAGTTATTTATTTGATTTTTAGTTTGAAATATGGAAAATCTTCTTCCATTGGACCTATATGTAAAGTAGAAAATAATTTTTATAAAGAATTTATATTTTTACCATATATATTTGTGTGATGTTTATTTTAAATACAGCTGTATGTTTTGACTACAGTAAATTGATATATAGTTTAGCTACCGGCATAGCCAGAGCCAGTAGTACGTCCACTAATTTTATATCTTGTGCATAAGGGCTCCCCCCCTCTTAAAATTAACTTCAAAATTAGGTTTTCAAAAGTCACACGATATGCAAGTATAGTTTTGAGTATATATGGTAATCATATCTCACAGATATTTGTTAATAATTCAGGTATAATTTTAATAAGTCATTTTTGCATATTAATAATTGAAGATCTATTACTATTTCTACTCTTCCTTATAAATATAGAATGAAATGTTATTTTTGTAACAGATAAGTCATAATGAAGTGTTTCTCTTATTTTGAAACAAATTTACAGACACCTATTTTTTTAATTTTTTAATTTTTTTTTTTTAATTTTTAAAAAATATTTTATATGGCTTTATTTATTGAAATTACTCCCCACCTGGCTTTTAAAAATATCTATTTACATTTTTCTTACTCCAAAGTTGTTTATCATATTGTCTGAAACATTATATATTTAATTTATCTTTTTATAAGTTTAATAAGTTTTCTTTTTGTTGTGCTTAAACAAATCTTCCTAAAAGTATGTATCTTTTTAAAATGCTTTTAAAATAATTTTAAAACTTAATTTTTATAAACTAAAAAAGATAGCACCAATTACTTTTTGTATAAATTCTTCATTGTTTCTTTGAAAATAAAAGGGAATTAATCTGTAATGAACCAAATTCTTTAGCTTTATTAATGATACTAATATATAATTATGTTCAGTGTTTTTGAATATATATATGTTTGTTTACAGTTTGGAAAATGAAAAGATTTAATAAATTTTGCATAAAAATAATTATATTTATTAAAGAGGGAAAGGAAGAAAAATGAGTGTAATATTTGTGAAAAGTGAACAACAAAACTGTGACATATTTAAACATCCTGTTCTATAAATAAATATAAAATAATGTAAGTTTTTTTTTTTTTTTTCATTTATCATTGTGTTAATACAAAAATGCTGTTGTCTGCTCCAATGGAACAAGATGATCAATGGCTGTCATATGTGTCTCATACAAGCAGAATAATATGCAATCTGAAAGTGTAATGCCTGAATGCACACAGAAGATATAACCAGAATTATATTATAGATGACTCGTTTAAATTTTGGTTGAATGTAATTACATACATTTTTCCTCTTTTTTTCTTTTTTTTTTTTTTCTGTGAATAACTAATGAATAAATAACAAACCTTTTAATCTTTTTTTTTTAACTTCCTTGCCTGGACTCATTTCATCGTTCACATAATGAAAGCCACTATTAATAAAAATGAATACGGCTTTTAGTTGACCAAATTTGTATTAGAAAGTCTAGTTTATACTGTGAGTTTTTCAGAAATTTCATACTCTCATAAAAATTTATAATTTTTGGAGATGAATAAAATATTCTTTTAATTACTTTTTCACATCAACTCCTGATTACATTATAGGATTCTATATTGATCACATGGACCATGGTAAAGTTCATTGTTAACTTCATGACCCTTTTTGATGGTTATATAGTATATGCTTTGCCAGAGCTACATATGGTTTTAAATTCAGAGTTGTCCTTTTCAACTGGTTGCCAACCATGACTAGGTCTGTCTGTCCAGCTATTTAATCCATAGCTGTAGGGGAAGAAGATATGGACTCATAACTTTCCTAATGTTGTGCACAAACAAACTTGACTAGAAATTTACTTGACTCCCCAACTTCTTGTTATATGATGTTCACCATTTCACCACCTAGACATCCTGCTGTATTAATATATATCAGATTTTTTTTTTCCATGTGATAAATGCAAGGTAAATTTTATAAAATTTTTACTTTAAATTTCAGGCATGTCGTACATTTAAATATTTTCGCCCAGGAACCAGAGTAATGTCCAGGGTAAGTAGAAATATTGCTCAAGAAATGTGACCATGTACTCAAATAGTTCATACTTTAATATTAAATGATTGTAAACGTTTTTAATTCTTCTTTAAACTTGTGTTAACAATTTGATAAAAAACATTTTTTCCCTTTTAAGACTCTATACCTGACCCTCAGCATAAAATGAAATAGGACAGCATATTTTTATACTCGATTACAAATTTTTTCTCTTTAAATCCAGGCTTAAAAATGTGAATATATATTAATCTCATTATGTGTTTAGTTGGTTGTCTCCTCTATTAAGGCCAGTTTCCCCACTCAGAGTAAACATACTTCCTTGTCCATTATTGTCACTTTCAGTTCCTGTAGAGATTCCAGGCCAGATTGCCAATGTATGTAACATGATGTCAACTATGCCTTCTCACTCCAAGCTGTGAATCTTAAAGGACCAGCTTTGATGTTTCTCCTTTTGTGTTCTCTGATCTTACTCACTTTTGGAAAGTTTCCATACAAACATTCATTTATTTGTGACATGCTGCTGCAATTTCAAATCCAAGACCACATATAAGATTCTTTTGAAGCAACAATCAAAGCTCTTTTCTCTTCCTTTCATGTATGCCAATGTTTCACAAGAGTACCATTTCAACAGTTGCTAGGAACAACCTTTTTTTTTTTTTTTTTTTCTCTTTATTTTTAAATGTTCTGCAATTTGAAGAATAGAATATGCTTGAGTATTATTGATTTTGATTCAGTATCAGAATTGCTAACCGCTTACAGCCATATTATGTTGAAACAAAGTTTCTTGTCTAATCATCAAAGCAACATTGAGCCTGGTCAGTACCTAGATGGATGACTGCTTGAAAATACCAGGTGCTGTAAGCTTGAATGTAAGAGTAGTATAACAAATAATGGCTTGGAATTGGAAATTGGAGAGCCGAGTTCAATTTCACCTTAACTAGTAATCTAGGTTAAAGAAAGGGTTCAGTTTGAATTTCCCTGAAGATTACTCTGATCGGCAGACACCTGAAGGAGGTCAGAAAGCACAACGGCTGAAACGTTGTCATAATAGCAACAAAGCTGAAGATGTGACTATAAATGTAAAGGATAACTCTTCATTCTAGAAATTAAGATGGAACTGATCTAATTGCATCAGCAAGTTTGTTGAAATAATCAACAGTAGGCAATTAATGTTGCATTATTGTGACAAGCAAAGCTGGCAAATATAATTCTGTACTTAATGGAAGTGATATCTCTGCAGCTTTGTTAAGAATGAAGCCAACACTGCCACATGTATTTTTTTTAATTGGTATCACCCCATGCAAGGTGGTAAAGCCACTAAGATACAAAGGGTTACAGGGTGTGGAAGAATTAGGAACAGAAACATTAATAATGAGTGGGAAGCAGAAAAAGTAATCAGGAGGACAGTAGCTAGTGATTGTCATTGCATTTAACTTTTTGAGTTCTAGAAACAAGAAGTGAGAAAAAATTCTGTTAGCCTAGAATTTATAGTTACATCTAGCCAGCTCAACTGTAAATTGATGAGATCTCTATGCCAGTCTAGTACTGCACTTAAATTCAAAATGTCTAGGAACCATAGTGAAGAGATCATCCAAACAATTACCATGAAAGTATTTATAGAAAATATTATTTTATTATTTTAGTTTCTCCATGTCATTGAAGTTATCAGCTTGCATTTCTTTAGGAATTTGAATTACAGTTCATGAATTACTTTTACCCTAACAGCATTTATGCTGACATTTCTACTCTTTTCTGCTTGACCTGTATAGTAGGAACATTGATAGTGGTATTTTTATTATTATAACAAACATGATTTTTGATTGATAACTGTAATCTTATAAATGAATAGCTTGTTTAATATTCATCTTACTCTTTACACAAGTCCTCTTCCTGTTGAGAATATAAAATGTTCTAAAGTTCTGTGCTAACAAAGCTTAGCACCATTCATAAAAGTATTTTGTGCATGTCTTGTTAAAACTGAGCATTTCTTTGTTTACAGGTGAAATTCACAAAGTGTCTTTATGCTCAACTGGTTCAACAAAAGTTTCAGCCACATCGTGAAAGTGGTTGGATTCTTCCTAATTCCTCAAATTCCAAATTCAAAGCACATGACTTAGGAATGAAGTTGGTAAGTTCATATCTCAGAAAATTAAAATATTTATTCTTCAGTGACTATTACTACTTTTTTTTTTTTTTTTTTTTTTTTGTAATTCTGTTGAAATAGGATACTTAGTTTCTTATAGATACCGTAGATAATATAGATTTTTATTCCTAATATGTGAGGCCTGTCTAAGTAATTAATAAAAATTCTGGTGTTTGGTCAGATTTTGGGAAGTGGGTTGGTTAAGCTAAGAACTTTTCTGCATTGTTTCATATAAATATATTACATAATTGTAATTATAAGAAATTGTTTCTCAATGAATTCCTTTTATGCTAGTTGCTAATATGAAAAATCATGTAGAATACACATTCATTTTGACAATTACCAATTAAAATATTAAACCATTTCATTCTTTTATTCATTGTATCTAAGCTTATTTAACCAAATTCTCTTTTGACGTAACAATATAGATAGTATATACTTTTCTTTTCTTTTTTTTCTTGTCTAGAATGTTTCATTGATGAGAAAATTTCTTTTAGAAATTGCCTGAAGCTTAATTTGGCTTCATTCTGGTTCTTGATAGTTTATTTATTTCAAGAAATATAAACTATTTTATCAATTTCTATTTTAGGCACATGGTTTTGAAATTATCTGTTCTAAATCCTCACAAAAGTCTAATCAAAACAATGGTACTTTGGACAATTTTGAAGTGCACAATATCAGATGGGAACGTTTTCTCTCCAGTCTTTCTAACAACGGATATTTCAAGGTAAAACTCCCACTTTGTGGCACACCCACTTTCAAATAATCATCTGACATAATTCTTTCACTCCACGTTGTATGTCTTTTTTAATGTGTTTGTCAGAAAGAAAATGTTTGTTTTGCCTTTTTAATAAGAAATCCAAGAAGTAAATTGCTACTTAAACAAACAGCATTTGTGTTTAATATCTTCTGTAGAATGGAACATTCCAAAAAAAGTTGACTCTACTTTTTTATTTTTATTTTTATTTTTTTTTATATAAACTTTTCAATTGAAACTATTTAAATGACCTAGATTTCACTTTTGTATCCTTAACCATTTGGTGGGTTTGATTCAAAGTACAATATACTTAGAACTAAGGGGGCTATCCTCATCAAGGCAACCCCCTTTCATTACACTAAGCATAGGAGGGAAATTACAAAGTAACAAAAGTGACTGAGCAATCTTTGTTACTAATCCTTTTTATGCATAGGATTTCTATTTTAAATATAACTTATGGCCGCATCACATTGAAACATTGGTTCCCATACGATCACTGAAGTTAAATGTCAAGCCTGCTTAATACTTAAATGGGTGACCGCTTGGGAATATCAGGTGCTGTAAGCTTGGATGCACTGGTGTTGTAATGGATAATAGCTCAAAATTATTAATTGGAGAGTAGAGTTCCAATTCCAGTTGGGTTCGTTATATTCACTTACAAATACTCTAGGGAAAAGTGAATCCATCTCATCTTCCTCCAGATATGGGTTAATTAATAAGACTTGTATCACTAATTCATTATTTCAAGAAAATCTAAAAGCATTTTCTGGCTTTAACTAACCTGCTAAGGGTTGATAAACGATAGAAAATAAATCAATAAAAACAAATAATCTATTTTAAATATGGCCTTGTTCCATCTGAGCTGCAGTAATAAATACAAAATGATTTCTGTAATCTTTTTGGTGAACTTATGCTACTGTGATTCTGCAAAAATCTTGTAAAATTAAACATTGTACTTTTATCACTTAAAATAGTAACTGTCTTCCTTTTGGTATTTTTATAAAAATTTTGTATCTTTTTATCTTGGATGCACTTGGCCCATGTTTGGAGTTGGATTTGTGTTTAAATCACTTCAGAAATTATATTATCTCTGACAGAATGAAGAAAATTACTTGTTTGTTATATAAAAAAATATTGTTCCTTAAAGGAGATTTACTTTAAAGCTAGCAGGTGTGTTTACAGAAGGCTTCATAAACTTATATATAAACAAAAAAAAACTAAATATTGTTTGTGCAAAAGTCAAAGTGTTAAAAATGCAGACATTGACACAATGAGCTTGAAAAAAATGCTTTTTTTTTTTTTTTTTTTTTTTTTAATATATAAAGCTTTGTGGGGATACAAAAGGTGGTTATCTCTTTGGTTGGATCACATGATTGTAACTTTGTGATGTCTATGAAGTGGCCAGTTGTTCAATCAGCTTCCAAGAGTTAATCTGAGCAGTTGCTTTATATATCCCCAGCTGAGGCTAAATCTGCTCAGTCAAGGCTAAATTTGCCTCCCTTACCAGATGTCATGTGGCATAGCTTACAAGCCCATAGTGCAGTCCTTGCTACTGACATAGAAGATAAATCAGTGCCTACTTGAATCTGCAAGCCTAAATATAGCTTCTCCTGAAACAGAAGAATATTCTGGCAGATCAAATTTTAGTTGGGGAAGTATTACAAATAAAACTATCTTTTTTATCACCTTTTCACACTGCTTGTGGTGTAGACATGTCATAGTTTCTCTACATGGGACAGATGTAAATATGTCTATAGTGATTTTATGTATGACTTAGTGGCATAAAACTCTCTCTCTCTGTTCCTTCTGTGTATTAATGTATTATTATATTATGAATATAATAATGCCTGTAATGGGGTCAAAATGCAAATGTGAGAATATTCATTTGTTTCATAATTCTCACCTTATCTGGTGACTTACCCAATGTGATGTATTATTAATTTTCATTAACTAGTGACCACAATGTGATATTATTAGTTTCCATCAGTTTGAACAAAAATACCAAGTTTGTCTTTTACTAAAAGTTCTAATTACATGTATTTTTTTTGTTTGTAGGGTTTTTTTTTTTTTTTTTTTTTTTTTTTTTGTAGGGTGAATTGCAGTCTTCCAAACACCATACAGAACTCTTGAAAAAAGCGCAGCAGTATTTTAAGGAGAATATTCAGAGTTCCCAAAGGTAAGTTAAATTAAAAAAAAAAAAATGTGTAACAAAAGAATTAAACAATACTATACAAATTAAACTCTCTCATAAATGTAAGTATTTTCATTTGAGTAAATGTAAACCCATTTTATTTCTCTTTCATAGATTGGTTAGGGTTTATTTTTGTGAAAGCATTAAGTTTTATTTATTTTTTTTTATGTTTAATCTCAAATTTTTATTTTTATAAATTCTCAAAAAAATTTGGACATTCTGCAAACTGCAGACTAAAATCTCTTTTATTTATATATATATATATATATATATATATATAGTAGCAAGTTTGCATGCTTGCTATTGCTTTGCAAAATAAGATATTCATTACTTGAAATCCTTGAAACAAAAATTTTTAAATGCCCATTTCATTCATAAATTGGCTTGTTAAGGAAAGTTTTACAAATAGATGCCAACTTGTTGAAGGCCAAGTAAAATGCAAATTTCAAGCACTTTTCTGCACTATATAAGACAATATTCCTAAACAGAACTATTTTTGATATGAAAATCAAAACAATCCTCAAAAGAACAGTAATGAAGGACAGTTAATTAATGAAATAAAGTTTTTTTTTTTTTTTTTTTTTTTTTTAATTAATATGCAAATTAGTTAAATCTGAAGAGTGATATTACTTAGAAGTAGATAATATGTAATACAGATATTGAGCTTTTCGTGTGTAAATTAATATGAAGTTTGTGACATTTGTATTTATCATCCCTCAATTGCATCTCTGTCTTTGGACAGAGGGTGTTCTCAGGAAAATTATACTGAAGAGGTGCCCAGCCCTAACTGAGCTGCCCGATACCGTGCAGGTCCCATTGCCCAGAGGAACAGTACTCACACTGAGGCCATCCCCTCATTGCACTGTAGGCATTTTTTGTCCTTGTCCCCAGGCCAGTCTGTCGAGTCCCCTCCCCTAAAATGGGACTTGTGTCATATTTTGTTCCTAGCCTGGGGACAGTGTGTTTAAATTACTCTTTTTGGTTGTTACACATTTAAACTGTTCTTGTGTCAAAGGACAATGCATCTTTGTGTGTGTGTGTGTGTGTGTGTGTGGAACAGCTGTGTATTTGTGCACCAGAAATACCAAATTACTATAAAGTACAGCTGAGGCCAGCACATCTCACGGTTTGTGGGGCTGAGGGAAATTTTTGTTCAATTTTGCATTTTTACACTATATTAATTTTATCTTAAAAATTGTCTCCTGTTCTGTCATCCATTGAAATAAAAATAATTGCTTATACAAAAAATAAAGATTTGTAACACATTTAATCATCTTTAAATTAAGTGTCAAAGACAGAATTATTGTTGAACTTTTTAAAAAAGACAGTCATAACTTAAAAATTAATTCAATGCCAGCCCTTATAACAACAATCAATTTTGATTTCTTCTGTAGTTTATTGATGCCTATTGCATCCAACTCCTCTGGTTCTATTGTGATGATTTGCCAAATCTGGGGTTCTCCACAGGGCTCTCCATATTAAATGACACCTGATAATGCGACTTTGCGGGGAGGGGAGGGCAGCTTTTAAGCTAACTACAAATTTTATAAACAAAAAAATTAGCTTTTTAATCTTGAATTTGTGGGAGAACTGATAATTTTGCATTTATTATAAAATATTAATATATTTTTTTACCTCAACTTTTCAAATTTGAATGCAAACCTAAATTCTGACCTCAACTCTATTAAATTTTATTCCCTGTTCTGTCACCCATGAAATAAAAATAATTGTTTGTATGGAAAATAAGTTTATCTAATCAAATCACCTTTAAATTGGACAGCAGAAGAATTATACACTGAACTTTTAAAAATAAGACTGACATTGCATATTTGAATGCAGCAATCAATTTTGAACATCACATTTCTTTTTTTTTTTTTTTTTTTTTTTTTTAATTCTGATGATGACCAATTTGAACATTTTAAATGACATCAGGATAGGGCAGCTTTTATAGCTGCAAAAATGGACTGAAGGAAAATAAATAATCCCCTTGAACCATGAAAGAATGATAATTAGAAATATTCTTTATTTTTAACCTATATTCTTGAAGATATTTTACTTTTTAAAATTAAATTTCAGACATGAAGATGAAGATACTGGAAATTTAATTCTCACTTTATTGGAAAATACACCATACAGCATAGAAGAGATGAGGCTGAAAGAGATCAACCTCCCTCCACCAGATGGTAACATTTCATTTTATGTACTTAGCTTTTAATTTAAATCTGCTAAATAATAAACTATGTATAAAATGTAATGTATAAATTGTTTTTATTGTAATTGTAAATTTTATAAACTGTAATAAATGACAGTTTTCCTTAAATGAAGATTAAGAGGGATGTTTGTTTTTTTCTAAAAGAAGAAATCAGATTGACAGTTGCAGACAAGGAAATATTTTAAATTATTATATATGTCTGTAGTTCTACCATTTCTATCTTTTGTTAGCATGATGACTTTGGGTCCTTTGTTGAATAGAAGGTATTTACATGTCTTTAAGAATAATTGAAATTTGTTTAAATAAGTGTTGGTGAGTGATCTAAATAAGTACTGGTTATTTAATCTAATAGAATGTCTGATGAAAATGTAAAGAATATTTTCTTTGTGACAATGACTTTGGGTATTTTGTTTGATAACCAAACTAATCAAATCTTATGAACTTCCCTGCTAAAAAAAATTAAAACACCAGCAAAATAATCTTTTGATTTTATTCTTGTTTTATCAGATGATTCTTGGCTGGATATTAGTCCTGATGAAGTTGATGATATGATTAGAAGTTCAGGAGGAAAAATTTCTGGAACTTCTCCAAATCCATTTGATCTGAGCCAAATGACAGAGAGCATGAAGTCATTTGTAGATAATATTTCGGATTATGAAGGAGCAGAATTTCCAAAGTAAGTTTCTTTTGGCTTTTCATTTAACTTGGAAATGAAGAAAAGATGTTTACAAGGAAAAAAAAATGATTTATCTGGAAATTAGTTGTGTATGTTTAGGAAGAGTAGATTTAGTTTTCCAAAAGTTATAATTCTGCTAGTGTGATGAAAGATAATACCTTCAAAAGTTTGTTATTTAACAGTCACTTCAGTATCAATCATTATTTGATTCACTAAATATTTCTGTAGAAGTAACTATTTTCTTATTTCATTTGTGTGCTAAATGAAAAAAAGATTAAAAGAAAGCAAAGAAAAAAATAGTAAGATTTGGAGGTAAAGAGGGGATCAGTAAAATGATTACCATTATTACCTCTTGTCACAATAATAACCTCTGTGATTTAGACTGTGGACATCTTTTCTTCTTTCCAGACCAGAAGACCTCAGCATATTCTAGCATGACAGATACCAACTGAGTAGCTTTGCCATTAGCTGTGACTGTCAGTTTTGGCATTCATGGAATTAGCCATTGCTGGTTGATTTACAATAACTGAAGCTCAATTCAGATTTTGAGATCTCACTAATATGGAGACAAAATTTTATATTCTTTCTTTGTTGCCTTGTGAATTGATTGCAAAGCTACAAGCCTCTTTTTTTATTTTTTATTTTTTTTTCATCAAGTTGAAAAGAAAATAAGAATATATAACACTAGGTGGGTATTACTAAACTATTGTATACAGTACCAAAGTCCACACCTGGATTTTGGTGAGCATGTGTTAACTGCAGAAACTTAAATGCTATTATCTAAACCTGACCAATACTAAACGCCAATATTCATAATGTCTTTTTCAAATTGCTAAATAAAATTAGAGATTTTTGCCATTTTCTAGGAATGGTGAAATTCTACAGAATTTTTTTTTTTTTTTCATGTTGAAGGTGTTTGTTTTTTTTTTTTACTGAAAACAATGCATTTGTAAATATTAAAATCATTGGCAAATTGAAATTTCTTCATTCTTCTGACGTCACTACTATATCTAATAAAACAATGCATTTGTAAATTCTTAAAATTTTATTTGTAATTTATATCTGGGTTATTCATTCATTTGCAAAAGACGAGCTTTCACTACTAACATTTGTTATCTAATACTAAAAGGAGATTAAAATTTCTTGGATTATTTTGTATTTCAATATTTCATTGATATGTGAGTAAAAAAAAAATCTTAAATTTGATTTGTATTTGGAAATTTTAATTTATACTTTTCTCTAAATAAAAAACCTATTTACAAACTTCTTACAATTATGCCAAAGGAAATAAGCATGTATAAATTTTACAATTTTTCACCTTTATGCAAAGTTGAATTAATATTTTAAGATCACTCATTCTAAGTTGTTTTTTTTTTTTCTTTTCTTCATACGGATTATATCTCTGAAGTTTGGGTATTTTTGTTATGCTATCTATTTCTACTGATCACTTATGTATTTTTCATTTTCAAGCTATCAAATATTTTCAATTTGTTAGAACATGAATATTAGTTGAAATTAAAGAGATAAGGTTTAATATTTGGAATCGCTAACAAACTTATTTGGCTTGCTTTGCTTATAAATTTCTGAAAGAAAACCAACTTGTATTGTTATGTTCTAAAGTAGAATGAAAAACTGTAAAATACAACAAACTGGGACTGATGGGAATAAAGAACTTTGGCAATCTTTAACATTTGTGCCAGCAAAAAAATTTGTCAAACAGTTTTTCTCTTGACACTGCTATTATTTTAACTACTTTCACTTCTCAGCAATGTTTATCATTTTAAAAAGTGATTATGATATAAAAATGAATTTATTTTTTTTGTTCTTGATAACTGACAGCAAAAATAATAAGCACCATTTATTAGATTATTTATTATATTGTTTATTGGGATGGCTGGCAAAACATTGGCTAATTGCCAATTGATTCAAACTTTATAAAATGGTAAATAAGGATTTCCTTATAGTTGGTTCATATATTTTTAGTGAATTTATGAAAAAAAAATTGGGGGTGGGATTTATTTCTTTATAAATTGGTAAATGATAAATATTAGTTTTTAGAATGTTGTAAATATAAAATTATTCTTGTAAATAAACAATTGAATAGTGTTTTAATATTTTTGTTGTAAATTCTCAAGAACAAAAAATTTTATAAATTCACAAAAATTCTAATCATCACTTTTTGAAAACAATAATTAATTTTTGAGGATGGAAAATAGTTAAAATAATAGCTACCATCATTTCCATTTTTTCTGATCCAATTTTTTTCTTTCAATTCAAAAAGATTATCAATGATGTTTCTAAAACATTTGATATACACATGTTTTTTCACGATTGCAGAAAATAATTCAAATTAAATTTTTATAAATAAATAGTAACATGAACAATATTCATATGAGGTCTGATCAAAAAGTAATGCAGACTGATGCAAAGGTAACTAATGAAGGAACTGCCCCACAGATCCCTTGAACCCCATGCATATCACCTTATAATGTTCTCACCCACTTTCATTGTTTAACCCCCACAATCCCCCCCACACTATATATATCACCTTCAAGTAACAACAACAGTAACTACAATCACTGCATGTTACTTAAGGTTACTAATTATGTTATCCATTTAGTGTTTACACTAAGTGGAAACCAATTAACAATTGTCTATAATATTATCATTAACCACAAACTTGTAGGCCCACACAGTTCAACTGTAATGACATCCTATTGTTTTTACTTATTGAGGAGTTCAGTGGCTAAAGTTTGTAGAAATCACTGGATATGACTTAAACAGGTTTTTTAAAAAATGCTACCTCAACACAACCAAACAAAAAAATAGTAAGAACCAACTTATGGACCTGATATGCTTGCAATAGACAGAAGGAAATAATTTTTTGGGATATGTCAATTAAATGCCAGCTTAGGCAGCCTCTGCTGGATATCAAGTCATATTTGGAAAATTATTTGCAAATGATAATTTTCACTCAGATATTTTAACCATGATTATTATTAATTTATCTCTAGTGTGTCACTCTGGCTGATGAAGAGTGCAGATGAGTCAAGGTTTCTTCTCTGCTTCATCCTTAAAATTATGGCCTCAATTAGAATGGAAATTGCTTTATTCTCAAAGTTAGCATAATACCATTAAAAATTGTACTGATTTTTTTTCTTTTTTTTTCTTTTACAGATATGCAAAAATTACATTATTGTAATATAACTTGATTTCACATAGACTTTTAATGTCTATTTAATGGATTTTGTTGTTTAAGGAAAGTTTTTTTTTTTTTTTTTTTTTTTTTTTTTTTTTTTAAATGAAATTTTGTTGGTTGTTGCATTTGTGTCTTGGTTGGTTACTTTCTAGCCTTTGGCCAACTATTACCAATTAACTGCATGGACATTTTTTATTCTTGAAAAATTCCTACCTGTGACTTGTTAACAGGCTTCTAGTTTGTCGTGGCCATAACAAATTTTGATACCATCATGGGTATGACAATAAACTACATCCAACAGTCATCATTTTGTTTATCCTGAGGTTTTGAAGAGTGTGGAACCACCTCTTTTTTTTTGGTTTTGCCAAAACCTAAATTGACCCAGGGTGGTAGCATCTGTTGTGGTCCCAGCTATGTCCACGTCTTGGGTATGACAAACTACGTCCAACAGCAAGGCCTCTGATAATACATTTTTCAAAAAATAATGTTGCCAGCTGTACATTTTTAAAAAAATATTACCAGCTATACATTTTTTGTTTGTTTTTTTTTATTTTTTATTTTTTTTTTTAAATATTACCAGCTATACATTTTTTGAAAAAGTAATATTACCAGCTATACATTTTTGAGGAAAAAAATATTAACAGAAAGTTGTCAGCATTAAATGACCCATTGAGGTTGATGTGCCATAAAACAAACCAAATCAAATTTTGATAGGTATCCCCACTTTTTCACCTTGTAACTGAACATCATGTGGTCATCATTTTGTACTCTCATCCTGTTTTTTGTTTTGAGTGTATATATCTGTTATTTGTCTGTGTGTGTATACACACACACGTCGTTTACATGCCTGCCTGTCTGTTTTATTGACTGTGCATGTTTTTTTTATTATTTTTTTTTTGTTGTCTCTGTTTTTGTCTTTCTGCATGTGTACTTGGTAAAGTAAAAAAAGTAATTTAAACAATTTTTCCAGTTTGTCTCCATAGATTCATCAATAAGTCTGAAGTAATGGAAATGGAATTAACCTTTCACAATCTCCTTTGTCAATATATTTGAATTGGTAGTGAATAATAATCATGGAATTTGAAAATCATACAGAGAATTTAAAATCATAACTACATATGAAACTACATACTTATTGATTCACTTTCATACTGTTGCCAGCCAAGACAAAATATTTTCTTTAAAAAAAAAAAAATGTTTAATCATAAAAAGTTAAAGCTTTGCTATAATGTGTGTGCTTGTTTTTTTTTTGTTTTTTTTTTAAGTTTCAAATCAGTTTCCTAATGAAAAATTATTTTATTAGAATTTGAAGATGCAGAATCTGGTTCAAGTTCAGAAATGGATGAATATGGCTGGGATTCCTCTGAGGAGGAAATGTCAGTTAATTCTGGGCCACGGAGCAACATGAAAGATTATCTGCAAATGATGGATAAAGAATTGTCCAACACTGAAATGGGGAAAAGTTTTGAAAAAGTAAGTTTTATTCTTGTGCATGATTTTTATTTTCTTTATCTGGGAGACGACAGACTTTTAAGCCGACTCTGATACAAAATAAGCATGCAATAGTCTGTTTAATGTTCAACTTTGTTAGAAAAAAAGTTTATAGTAAATTGAATCCTTTATCCAACATGTTCTTCTGTTTACTGTTGGATAAACTAAAAGCCTTGCTTTATTATTAAACAATTTTACATGGTTATCTTAGTATTACAGTAATTGTTGTTAGTTTCTTAAAAGAAAATGATAATAAAGTTTTTTACATAGCTATATAATTTTATAAATGCATTGTACTTCTAAAAGGTAATTAA